AAGCAACCTACAGACTGGCCATGAGAGAGTATCTGTCCTCTAGGAGTTTATAGTTTACTTGGAGAGGAAAAAAAAAGTTAAGCAATTTTTGAATATTTAAATACTAAAGGCCTTCAAAGGCTGAAAGCAAGGCTTCTGGAAAAGGCAGAATAAAGACTGACTCAGTGGACAAAAAAAAAAAAAACAGACCTTGAAGGACCTGCTTGCTGGTGCAGACTGGGGAAAAAGACTTCCCGAGAGTGTGTGGATGGAGTCAGAGACAGAGGGTCCATCTGCCAGCAGTCTAAGGGTCTGCTGCCTGGAGGTGGGGGTGGCGGAGGAAATCTGAATATTCTGCTGGGAATCAAAGTGAAATCCTTCTAACTAGGACTTGGCCTGAGCTTGAGCCTCTCCCTTCCCTGGTTGCTCTGTTTCTTCCTCATCGAGAATCCCATAGCTTCCTCCTCTGTCAGTCAGGTGAGGGGAGAGAAGCCGTGGTTGGTCTCTGAGAGCTGAGGGACGAGGCCAGTCTGGATTCAAGCACTGCAACTTTGGGTGCTGAGAAAATGCTTTCCCCCTCCACAAAGAGCCCTGTCCCTTCCTCTCACCCTCCTCCTCTCCCTCCCTCCAAAGAATATATTCTCATCTTCCAGAGAACTTCCTCTCTCTCTCCTCCTTTATGGCCAAGCCACAACTTCTCTAGGCCCTACCAACTTGCTTTACGCTGACTCAACACCACCAGAGCGCCCCCCCCCCAACCTTCTAGTAAGTTCTCTTGCCGCCGTATTAAACTGGCCTTCACTGTCTGCCAAAGAGAAGTTTCCTCCCTTCCCTGAATCTGGATGGAAACTTCACACGACCACAGCCTACACACTGAAACACGAATCCAGTTGTCCCCACGTGCCAGGAAGGGCTGTGCTCTCACATGCCAGCAGGTCCTGTCCCAGCTCTACCCTGTTGCCTGCTGGCTGCATCTACTTGTGAAACTTCTAAACTGTCTAAAAGGGGATGAGCCAGGCAAATTCTCCTGGGGGAGTAAGTGCAGATATTCACAATTTAACTGCCTGGTGAGCCCAAGAACTTGTAGAGGTGCCTGGAAAATGCTGCGACTTTCCCTCATATTCACGTGCACTGATGCTTAATACACGTGAAGAAGAAACTTGACATTATTCATACCAAGTAGCAACCTAATTCCAAATATGAATTTTTTAACAAGTGCTCATTGGGAATGCAGTCCACGGTAGCACTCTAGCTACTGCTTTCTGCACCCGCACAAGGGTGGGTAGGACATGGGCAAGGAAAAGTGGATGGTCCCTGAAGGTTGGAATCTTCCTGTAAGGTAATGTTTGCCACAAAACAACCCAAGGACATTAATATGCAAGTACAAAATATAATGTGATTCAAATTTGGGTGAGCACTTGGGGAGCAAGGGACCTTGAGTGTCCCAGGGGCCTTCTGGACAGTATCGCTGACAGGACCATCCAAACATGAATTGGAAACTAGAAACTTCTTAGTGAAAGGAAAGAGCCCTGTGCATTGCAGGTGTCATGGATGCTCATTAATGGTGATCATAGTCTTGCAAAGTAGGTATTATTTCCATGTAACAGGAGGAGGCTTGGAGAGGTGAAGAAATTCACCCAAGCTCATGTGACTACAAGGGAGTGGAACCAGGTTTCCCCAGAGCTACTCTGATCTCTTGAGTTCCTGTGACCCGCCCCGCCCCAGATACCCCATGTTGGGCCCTTTGAGCATTCTTTATATGGATGTTTCCCGGTAAAAAAAAAAATAATTATTGAAAAGATTTTGCACCTTTCAGCAGCACAGGCACCAAAGATTTTATCAAGGAAGAGGAGGCCAAACCTGGGGAGATTGACAGTCAGCCCAGAGATGCACAGCCCAAGAGCATCTGGGGACAGAAGCAGACAGAAAGCACAGCTGCCTGCAAAGGCACAGACCCTCTGGGGAGCAGGTAAGGATGGTGGCTGCCGTACCTTGGTCCTCAGGGAAGAGGATCGACTTGTGCTGTCACCTGGTGAATTCTTCCTGGTTTGTAGATGCTTGTGCTTTTATGTGATAGAGAATACCCCAAAAGGAAATACTTAAAAAGGTTTAAAAGCAGACTGTTTGATCTTGAGTTTTTTTTTTTTTCCTCCAATAGATGTTGGTGGGAACAGCAATGGAGGAGTTTATCTTTTATTTTATCTCCCATAACTCCAGAGCATGACAAGGTGTGTTTTTGAGTGGACAGGAGCTGGGGGAAGATGGAAAAGCAGGATGCAGTTCTGGGGAGGTCCCACCCCAGAAGAGGACAATGGATATCCATGATAGCAGACGGTTTGTCTCTGAGAGAGATGGCCTTTCTGATCCAGGGCAGTCATAGCAGCAAGATCTCAGTGTGTAAGAAATATCAAAATGAATATATGCTTTATTTCAAACACTGACTTGGTGGAACGCTCCTCTTTCTGAATTTGAGTCCTGAACATGCACCCAAAGGCTCCTGCCATCTACTCTGCTAACCCTGTCACAGTCCCCTTCAGTGACAGAAAGGAGGGGAGAACAGCACCTAAGGAGCTCACTTAGGACTCAAGAGAAGCATTGTGTCATAACCAAAATTTGCTCTCAGAGAAGCCATTAAGTATCACACTTTCTTGATACTAAATGAACGTGGTAGCCTTTGTATTTAAATGGGAGATTTATATATATATAATGGGGAGTATTTCGATGGCTTGGAATGAGATGCCATGAAAGTACACATGAACTAGTAGCAATGAGATGTCCCCAGTTACAGAATGTCTTTTGGCAGAAAGGGCATGAGCTTTAGGGCAGACCCCAGTTCTAGGGTTCGTCCTTTATGGTCATGTAGCCACACTGGGATAGAGTTCCCTTATCTTAAAACAAGGATAATGAAAATCTACCTTGCCCTATTGTTAAAGTGGCTTAGTGAAGTAATACACAGACCAGCATATTAAGTCCACGCAGAAGGCCTGAACCATTGTTGGTTTCTGTCCTGCCACCTCCCCAGTGGCTCTCTGTGAACTCTGATATTATCTGAAAGCTGACATCCTCTGCACATGAAACATTCCTGGACCCATGGGGCTCATTCAACCCTCCATCTGCACCTAGGGGACAAGTTTTATTTTTCCTATGACTCCCTGAGTTGTTATCCCAGGGCTCCTTCTCTTTCCCCAATTAGAGTCCCTCTTTAGTTTCTTTCCTCATGTTCTAATTTGGCTTAAATAAATTGGAGTAGAGTCAGATATTTGAACAGTGAGAGATTTGAAGCAAATGTAACCAAGAAAATATACAGAAAAAAATCAATAACACACATGCGCGCGCGCGCACACACACACACACACACACAAAATACCTAAGAGAAAAATGAAGAAGGGTAACAGACAATTTTGCAGAGACATATAGGCGAACACTTAAAACAGAAGTTCAGCCTTAATAGGTTATAAATGTAAATTCACAAGTGAGCTAAATGTGGCCTGCCAACTTGGCTAAGGATTTTAAAATAATATTTAATAGTGGTTATAAAACTAAGAGCTAATACTTCCTGGCACTGTTGTGTCAAATGCTATCGACAAGGATTGCTGGGGACCCGGTTATGAGAGCGATGTTCTTGTGCCTCCCCCAGAGGGTAATTTGGTGCAAACTGGAAAGAAATTTGGCAACATGTGTCAAAACCTTCTAGAAAGTTCATACCTTTTGACCTGGTAACTCCACCCCCACAAATCTATTCTAAGAAAAGAAGGTGTGTCGTCAATGATGCACAAGCAAGGAAATTTATCACATAAGGGATCCGTGACAGCAAAAACCCCAAAACTGTCTATATATGCCCAGCAACAGGGGAAGAGTTCACAAATTATGATACATTCATATTATCATTGAGGAATAATGACATGAGGTAATGCATACAATGAAATGTTTAGAGAAAGAAAGCAGGACATACAGTTGCATATACAGAATCATACCAATTTTGTTTTTTTAAAAAGGAATAACCTCTAGATAAGGGAGGCCTGGGTTGTAAGTTCAAATACCTTCAGGGAGCAGGTGGGTACGGCAGGAGAGATTCATAGCGGGGATCATGAGGTAAGCCACACATCCATGTTTCCATCTGAAGGCATTTAATTCATGGTTCCAATGCTGAGCCAAAGCACTACTGCAGGATGGGAACAACCAGGGGTCTTTAGCCTGCAACTCCCCAGAACATGAGCAATGGTCACCTGAGCCCTTAGTCATGGGCAGACTTGGATTAGTTCATCCTCTCCTCTATTTTCTCCAGTGATCATAGGCC